AGAGAGAGAGAGAGAGAGAGAGAGAGAGAAAAAGAAAAAGAAAGAAAAAGAGAAAAGAAAAAAAAGAAAAGATTAACTGGCTAAGAGATGAATAATGAGAGCCAATGGCAGAGCGATAAATGTCTCGACTGCGATACAGTTAGCAAACGAGGTCGGTCGGGCTCACTTTTCGGGAATTTTGCAGTAGTAATTGAAAAAAAAAAAAAAAATACATGTCCTTTTCGTTTCGTTTTTATCGTAATAATTTAATAAGAGAAGAAAAAAACGAAAAATTTGTCACGCGATCGAAATTAATAAAATCGGTTATTATCGTCTCTCTTTTTTCTTTCTGTTCGTTTCAATTTTCATTTCCGTTTCATTTTCCCCCGATGAAAAAATTGTAATATCGAAAGAAAGAAAATTAATAATGAAAATAAAAAAAATATATATACATACATACACATACATATATATATATATATATATATTTCGATCGAGAAAGAGAGAAAGAGAGCGTGATGAAAGTTCCAAGTTCCACGTAACATTGATCACATTGATTCGCGCGGGCACTTTCGCGAATTTTTCTTCTAGAAAAAAAAGAAGAGAGAGAGAGAAAACGAAAGAGAAAGATAGATTTTTTCTTCTGCAGCGTGATTCCGTGATCGATTTTTGGACGACGCGATACAAAACGGCGCTCGGGACACGTAGTTCTCTCGCCTACGGATTAAAACCGCGCCCCCCCCCCTCCTCCCCCCATCCTTCCAGCAACTCCACCTCGCCCACCCTTGTGCCCATTTGGCATTTGAATTCTTTTTGTTGAGACTTTCGTTTTTCACGTATACATTTATTACACCACAGTTATTTGCTTGTTACATCTGAAGTTTTTGAGCATGGCATTTGCAGCGAGTGATTCCGTGTCGAACAATAAAATACCGGCCGCGCAGACATCTCGTTCAAAAAAATGTTATTAAAAACAATATTATTACACGAAGTTAAAGTTATCGGGGAAAAAGGATCTTTGAAATGAGAATACATATGTGTGAAGATAAAAAGAAGTTGTTCTTCTAAAAAAATTCTTTTTTTAATACGTTTCGAACGTTGAAATTATTGAATCACGGTACTATCAAATCTATCTTAACTCACCCTCCCAGTTTTGAATTGATTAATTATTAAAAACACTCTCGTCGAGATGTCTGCGCGGTTAGTCCTGCTACGACCACGAGTGACCGCATGCTCTTTTAGTTGGTATAATAATACTGGATGTAACCTTCCACGGGAGGCTTCGAACGTTGTTCTAACCAAACTAACCACACTTTCACTTTCGGAATTAAAAATTCTGTCGCAAACGCGTGTAAAAAGAGGAAAAGAGGAAGAGAGAGAAAAGGAAGAACAACATTTAAAGCCCTCCGAACATTAATTTTACGTAACCACACGACCACCCAACCCTAACGAAGGCAAAGTTCACCAAACACTAATCTCCAATTGCTTGTTCGCAGACGTAAGAAGAAATGTATCAGATACATGGGGGAGGGAGGAGAGGGCGACGGCGAAGCGGATGGCGAAGGCGACGACGACCACTCGGAGGACAACCTCGGCAGCGTGGGGGAGGCAGGGACTCCCGAGGAGGACGAGTCCCTGAGCAGCCCCGGGGGTTTGTCCGCGTTGTCTAGTCTGGCCAGCCCGTCACTGGTGTTACAGTCGCCCTCGAGCCTGGCCAGCCCGTGCCCCTGCCCCCTGACGCCCCCGGTGCCGCCTCCGCCCCTGCCCAACCCCACGAGCCAGCCGCACAACAATCAGCAACCGGTGCAACCGCCGCCCCCGCATCGTAACCCGGTCGGCACCAATCCCCACGACATCAACAACCCCCTTAGCGTGAACCAACTGACCGGCCAGTGTATAAAGAGTGAAGTGGTGTCGGCACCCTCGGGCACGTCCAACCGGCGATCAGTGTTACGTAGCCCCGGCCGGAACCACGCGACAAGACTGTTGCTGCCACCGTTGCGCGTGTAGCCGACAACAGGGTCCGTGTTGAACAGACGAGGTGGTGGTGGTGGTGGTGGTGGTGGTGGTGGTGGTGCTGGTGGTGGTGCTGGATCGTTCGAACGATTATCGCGATCATCCAGCCGGCCGCGATTACCAGCCGCCTGTCTGGCCTCCTCTTCTGCGTGCTTCTACCATCCCTCCGCGTGAGATACCCCAGCTGGTGGTGGTGGAGGATGATGATACCGAGGAGGTGGACCAAGAGGAGACGCTTGTTCGTACTTGGACCGATTGGATGGAACCAAGTTTGACGTTTGGTTACGTTTTCTCGAGATTAACAGGATGTTGGATAAGGAAGGAAGGAGGAGGAGGAGGAGGAGGATCGTCCTCGATTACGAGCAAGGTTCGGAGGGGATGGTTCGATCGCGCGACGTGGAGGATCGCCTGGGATGTTGTTACCCGGGTATATATAATAATAATAATCCGACTTCCACCCTCCCCTCCTTCGAACGTTCGCTCAATTAATTCTGAGAAGAGAATTGAGAGGAGGAGGAGGAGGAGGAGGGGGAGGTGAAAGACGTTCACGTTTCGTGTGACGTAGCGTGAATAATGGACACAAGCGAACGGGATGTGTGGGAGGGAGGGAGGGAGGGAGGGCGGAAGAGATAAGCGAGGAAAGCGGATGAAAATACGATGCAGAAATACTCAGGACCAAGTGTCTGGCTGTAGTCACCCACTCGAGAGAGAGAGAGAGAGAGAGAGAGAGCAAGATTGTTAGGTCGTGCGTGATGGAGAATGTGGAGAAGGATGAGAGGGAGAAAGAAAGATGCGATACGATTGTGTGAAAGAGAGTACATATGTGTGTATGTGTGGGTATGAGTGAAATTTATAGGGTGGCGAATAAAAAGTGCGCGTGACACAGCTTGTAGTCCTTGTTACGTTGTGATGCCAATGACTGAGAGGTCATGTTCCTGTGCCAGGTACTATATTCTATAAAGTAATTAAATACCGCAGACGTAATAACTAAAGGTTATTAAAACGAGGAAGCAAGAAAGAACGAAAATTGAGAATAATGTGTATGTGTTGTGTGTGGAAGAGAGAGAGAGGAGGGAGAGAGAGAGAGAGAATGAGATGAACGGAGAAGAAGAAGAAGAGAGAGCAAGATTTAGATATGATGATGAGTTTGAACAAGACGAGAGAGCAAGACGATTTTCTCGTAATTCATTTCTTTTTTCTTTTTTTTTGATTCGACCTCATTGTGTCAAAATACCTATTCTTCTGTGTACGTAATTTGTTATTTTTTTAAAAGTCTATATACACACACACATACCGTGCGATTGATTAGCGTGTAAGATCTCTTTTCTTTTATTTCTTTTTCTTTTTTTTTTTTTTTTTTGAGACCTTTCCTTTTTCATAAATCTTCACCCAATCTTTCCTTTCCACAATTTTCAATTATGGATCGCGATGCGTGGCGAAGAGGAAATTCGACTCCGCCTTTTTAATTCTTTGATTCTTGTTTTATTAATTCGGGACCACCCCGAATCGATCTCCATCGCATAATAAACTAAACTTTTTAGACGAAAATCTCAGGAATCTTTACCGAACACGACGATGATTCTCTTCTCCCGAACGATCTGCTGCGATAATTTTTGACAGAAAAGAAGTATACGAAAATGAAATGCGATCGAGGAACGAGGCGAGTACAAGCCGCCCCCCGCGCTTTCGAGTTAAAAATCGATCGAGACAATAACCGAGAGACTGTTCTGTCGTCGAACGCGCGTCCCAGAGCTTCCATTAGAAACCAATGTCCAAGGGTATTTATGTATACTCGAGTTCGTTCCTCAACGATCGTTCGTGATCGGGGAAGAAAGACACCATATAAATTTTTCGTTATTCAACGAGTGTCGTTACGTCGCAATCGAGTAAAGAGATCGTTTTTTCAAGTGTTCGCTTCTTCCTCCTCCTCTCCCCCATCCCTCCTTCCAATTCGTTTGTTTTCTTCTTTTTTCTTTTTTTATTTTTTCCACGCCACAATATGTTCCCTGACGAAGCAGGGAATTAATCAGACTTAATTCGTTATTAGATAATTAGTTAGAATCGAGAAAATTCTTCTTTTCTTCGAAGAAAATACTTTCTTTTTGTCGTTTTTTTTTCGTTTCGTTTTCTTTTTTTTTTTTTATCTTTTTGTTATCCTTACTTTTTTTTCCCCAGAAAATTTTAAGAGATCAATCGAAAGGGATAGACAGATTCTGGAGTTTTTTCTTTTTTTTTTTTTTTGAATGAAAAAGAATCCATCTATTTCTGCGATTTGACGATGTTTCCACTCTTAAGATTTTCTGAGGCAGAGAAAAAGAAATGTGCAAGAATGGAAATTGAAAAATTCGTCGATGTTTTATTTCGTAATTATTATGATTATAGCGTGATTAAATGTTTGTTCACTCGGATGGTCGGTCGCAGCGACGAGTTTCCGCCATGCCTCTTTTGTGTCACATTTATCGTGTTGTTTTACGTGTAATAAGCCTCGGTAAACCTCACCGCTCATTGTTGTTGTATAGGAAAACAATTAAAAGAGAAAGAAGAATATTTTTAGTTGATCGTGAGTCCGTTTTTACTTTTTTTTTTTTTTACGTTCCTTTTTTTATTTCCACCCCCGTCCTCCTTATTATCCCCCGTTTTCCCCTTTCTTTCTTTTTTTTTTTTTAACCGCGCTTTTGCGTTTTGAATCCTTGTTATCGCGGAATAAGCGCGCGAAGCGAATCGAGGATT